CCCTCGGCGGCGTTTCCCTCAGAAACGGGTTTTTCACCCTTTAGCCGGTGAATTTGCCGCCCGGGCGGCTTTGTCGTCCTCCAGTCTTCTATTTTATCCTTTCGATAGCTGGCAGGAAAACGTCAGAGAGTAGTCAGCCGTGACTTTTTGTTGTTGTTGTTGTTGTTTCCATAATCTTCTCGCATTGACAGAAGTATAATACCAACCAAATGAGATTGATTAAGTATTGTTAAGAATTGAGGAAACATTGATATTCAACACGCGACATTCTGGTATATCGAAACGCTTACCGTGAACGCTCAATACACAGCGTTTTAGTATTACAATAAAATACTCTTAAAAGTTGCCCTGGTCTCGAATGTTAATGGTCGTTCTCTGTTTATGTATCATTAATTCAAGGTGAGAATATCGGTTCTAGCCTCAAGTATAGGAAAAAGCATCCCCGGGTTTCTTTTGTACTAAATAACCCTAAACATTCACTGGCAAATTGAAATTTAATTCCAAACACTGCAGTGCTACGGGCGTTTCAGATCACACGCTTTAAACCTTGGCAACGTTTAATACAGTGAGCGTGCTTAGTCTGTATCTGGTATTATCCAAATTTACAGCTCGCTGTATTCATTAGAGTATGCATACGTCTGTCTTAACCTCCTCCGTGTCATGTCGGACACTAAAAATTCTTAGAAATGTCTATAGCCATTTTAATCTGAACGGCTAGTGCAGTTTAACCCTCAGTGATATGCTTAGAGTTTCACAAATACTAAAGGAATTCCTGTCCTCAATGTACTTCTTGACAGGAGCATCATAACGTTTCTGTAAGGGTGTTAGTCTTTAGCCTTCAAAAATAATGAAAAGGCGTCGGGATTGGAGCATCCCATGTAAAACCCTGGAAACGCTATCATGCTGATTTCCCTTTAGTGCGTTTCTTCTAAATGAAGGTCACTGGTGCAAATGAAACAAGAGTCCAGCCAAGTAGAAGACAAATACAAGTATCTTAAACAAACTATCTGGTTTCTCCAGGATCCTTGACTAAGGTGTATTCACCCCGTCCTTGAAGCGTGTCTCTTGCAATCCTATTAAAATCAGGTATGTGTTTGGCTCATAGATATTCCAGGGCAAACAGCTTCTCTGTACAATACACTAAAGGTTTATAGCAGGTATTTACTCTTTGGTTGATGAGTTTCATCCTGTCTCAGTTTACCAATTCGGTTGTAATTTTGTAAAGATGACGGTTCTGTTCAGGAACGTGTAAATCCTAAGTAACAATTGCAGAGGGGAAGCAGACATGAGGTTTATTTCTTTGCAAGCTCTGCAGCTTGTGTTTCAGAAGTGAGAGCAAGCTTCTTGCCTGTTCTCATTTCCTATGATTTCTCTCTTGCTCAAAAGAAAAAAAAAAAAAACAGGATTTCAGTCAGTGCAACCCCCAAGCTAGTTTCTAGAAAAGGTAACGTACTAATTAATTTCTCTAAGGGTACTAAGAGTTGTCTTGGTCGTATCAAATATAAGCCTGCTAACAAAATGAACTGTGTTCAGTAAATTCAGCCTACCTCCAGCGGTCTTTTGCAGATTATCACACGCTGTGTAACTGTAGGCGTGTAAACCTTCCCAGCGAAATTAATAGCACTGCTCATTTGCCTAAAATAAAGTTACAGATAAAATATTTGCAGAGTTGGGATTTGGTTTTCGGCTTGCTTCTTTTTAGTTTGTGAAAAGGCTTTTAGTCCTGAATCTCCAAATAATCACCTTGTGTATTTTCATATTTTCAGTGTTTACTTTGCTTAGAAACGATGCGTGCAAGCATTTTTTTTTTTTTACTGTCATTTCTCCTCTTTAAAGACACACTTAAGAAGTGATTTTTGTTTTGGAATGCGTCTTTATATACAGGGATGTACAGAATAGTAGAAATAGGGGTGCTTAATTGCATTTATTATTAAGTGAGACAGAGCTTGTAGGAAATTATTCTTTTAAAGGCAATTAGTGCTAGTTAAAAAAAATAAGAAAAAAAGGTTACTTGCAAATCAGATCATGGACTTTATTTACTCTCTTCTTCCTGATGCCCAAATTTAATTATTGCTATTTAGAGATCTGCAAGTTGGCATTCCCCAACAGAAGATGTCAGAGTGAAATGCAGCTCCGCACTTTACTCAATCTTTCTCTTTGGCATCCTGCACCTAACCCATCTTTTGTGCATCTGTGTGGCTTTCTGGAAAGCTACGTAATACTGGGTGTACGTTATCCATGACTACTTTTTCATGGCTCCCTTGGAAGTAATTCCTGTAGACAATATGGCCTTAGGCTGGCAGAGAGACATGGCGTACTAGGGAGTTGGTGTCTTTCTGGATGACTATCCCTTTAAAATAAACCCATCTACTTTACAGAAAAGTAGCCTTTTCCTACGCGTGGAAGATGCCTATGTTTTCCTGAGGGCAAAGACTTTCCATGACGTTTCTGAACTACCATTTTACAGTTTTACAGTTTTAAGCATAACAGTCATCCATATAATGAGTTTTATCAACTAAAGTTTCAACTCCCAGGCAGCTCCTGTTCCCATAGGAGAGCTAAGCACATACTTCAGGTAATTTCACAGCAGTTCTCTAACTATTTATTATAGCATTAAAGCAATATAAAAGTATTTCTTATCCATTTAATTTTGTGTATTATGAGGTTTGGATTTTATAAGAAAGACTATATTCTTCTTCAGTATTGCTGCCAGTGAAGGGTAAAACAGTTTGTGAGTCTGAAGATATCCTTCTCTCTTTGTTTGTCTAGGATGCGCTTAAAGTCAAGAGCTGTGAGCTGAATCATTTTTGTTGTTTAACAAAGCTAGATTTACCATTTTTTTCCTTCCTACTTGCAGTTAATGCTAAAAGCCTCTTGATTACGGAAGCAATCTATTTCAGTATTTTATGTTTTGGGAACATAATTATTTTATGTTTCTGTCACTTGCCTTGGAAGTCTCTTTCAATTGCTGTATTTTAAGAATCTATCACTGATTTGAGGAGAAGAGGACAGAGAAGGAATTACGGATTGCAAATCTGTATACTACTTGAATCATAAGTGACAACCCAGGGTTGACTATGGGATAGTCTGTATTTTTGTTTTGACAGGGTGTAGCGGTCCCGTAGCCGCGCAGGCTTCACAGCTGTCATTTATTCCACGTTGCATGGCCACGTAGAATTTGTGGTTATGAGCGGAGACAGATAGTGTGCAAGGCGCTCTGCTACAGAAACACAACCTCTTCCTGCTAAAGCTTAAGGACAGTTTGTAGTCACTATATAAATATTAAAGTTTATATCGTTTGCACGCAGGCCAGTATATCCTCTGTCCTTCAACACTTCACCCAACTGAGAACAGTTACATTCGCACATGCTAGTCATTAAAGGCTGGGTTCAGATTGCTGCCTTCTGGCATGCAACTTTGCAACCACTTCACAAATATTCTTGGCCCAAAAATTTATTTCAGAGATCTGAGTGAGAGACTTGGGCTTCCTGCAAGACTGGGAATAGAGAAGTAGTTTCTCTAAAAGATGTTTCAGTGCTCACTAAATGGAGAGTTGCCAATGTCATCCATTAGGAAACATCTACAGGAGCAAGGTCTGAGCTGCTGTTTTGAGTGTGTCTGATTCATAGTTGTACATAAGGCACCTCCATCCGTTCAAAGCATTGACACCCTGGTAGGGCAGGCACCTACCTGAGAAGGACTGACATGCAGTGGTGCTGGTGCTGGCCACCACCTTTTGCAGAGCAGGCTAGTGGCTCCCCACCCCAGGAGGTCCAGGACCCTTCTTAGCCTGAAAAGGTCCAGCTTACTGTTCCGGACATAAAAATCCTTACCATGAGGCTGTGGGCAAGGCTGCGGAAGAGCCTTTTTCTTCTACACTTCTGTCGAAGCTGGACTGCAGAAGGAGCCTGATCCTGTCACCCAGGGAGAAGGGAATTTCCCTTGTTTGCCTGACTTGGGGTAGTAATTAGTGCTTACCTGCTGTTTCTAATTATGTCTTCAGAAAAGGAGACCAGTGAGGGAAGATCTCAGTGTGAAGATTCAT